GATATGCAGTCCGATTTTTAATAAGAATTAATTTTAAAAATAGTCAGTTCTGCTAATAATTACTGTTGTTGTAATACATAGGATATAAAGAGAATGACTACAAAACAGATCAAAAAACAATGTTAAAACGAGACTATAAATTGGCTCTGTTGTGAGAATAGCGCTGAAAATGCCGCACAACTTCTGATGCTTACACATATTTCTCAAAATATGCCCGAACTGTGAATGTGTTGCAGTTAGGTCTACAACGAATATTTTCTAAATGCTGCCTCACTGCGCCAAAGAAATGGACACTTTGCCGCAGTTTGGCTTCATTTTCTGCATTGCAATATTTATTGAATTTTGCATTGCTCCTCCATGGTCGCGGATGTTCTGCAGCACATTTTTTAGGTGCATTTTGCTATTCCAGATAGAAAAACGTGCTTGAAATTTTGCTAAATTTGCGAAACTAACGAGAAGTTATTAAGCATCGCTTCATGTGTGTTTTCAAATAGCCCTTGTGGCAGAAAAATTCCTTGCAGTTTTCGCATTGAAGTTTAGGTTGGCGTGTTTTATTGCGAGAAGGAAACGATGAATGATTGGACGTTAGCCCACAATCGGGTCGTTTGCGTTTGCAAATAAATGGTTGGTCGGGCGTTTTCTTGCGTTTTCTATATTCATCGCGATTGTCAAAGCTCGCATCACATCCGTCATGAGGACGTTTATGACTTTGCTCTTCTGAAAAACTCCTCGTATACTACCAGTATTTGCTAATTAATTAATGTAATTTGAAAACTGATCATAAAATATCAATGCCATAAAATAAACATATCACATCGCATTTCATTTCAATTACTAGAATCAATTTACTTTTTCTCATATATATTGGAAGCAAAAAATTCAGTTTTAATGTTACCTTCTTCTCCATCAATATTATATTCACTGGGGTCCGGATTAAAGTGTGACAAATTGAAGTTGTCAATGTATTTTTGAAAGAAGTCATAGTCAATGTTTTCATTGCTATCACTTGATTTAAATAATTCACTTGGGTTATAAACGTTGTTTGGGAGAAGAGTAGTAGGCTGATAATAATTGTTCAGAATGACATTTTGTTCGTAGCCAGGATAACGAACATATGTAGTAATAACATTTGTGTCAAGGTCAAGTAGGGAGAAAGTTTCATTACAGGCCAAAGTGATGCAAACCAGAAGACTGAACCCAATGATTTGTGTTATCGACATGACGAAGAACAAAGTAAAATACAAAATTTTAAAATGGTAGAAATGTTTGAATAGAAGCCTTTTTATATCACATTGAATTGAATTAAACGACCAAAGGTTCAAGCAGCTTTTGATCTGCACGATGAGCAGTATTTCCCATATTTTTTTCTCTTACATTCAAATTTCCTATCTCTAACTCGATAGTTGATGAATATACTTTTAATCCCCGACGAAAGCCTCATGAAAAGGATTACAAATAAATTGAAATACAAAAAGACAATGTTATGACATGCAAAAAATATACGAAATAATCAATGCATTGCTGTAAATTTTGCAAATTTCATCACTCAAAAAAAAATGTCTTTTGTGTCATTGTATACAATTATATGAAGCAAAGATTATTCGGATTTAAAGCAATTTCATTAGTTATCTACAGAAATTTGTTGCATATTCGTTTTCAATTTTCATTTCTGCTTTTGCAAAGCAGAAAACAGATGTTGAAGTCAGTGACCTGTTATGATTTTTTGAAAATTTTCCATCATCAACATCATTAACAATTACTATAAAAGACAGTAAAAGACGGATGAATTTATTCAGTTTTAATAACAATCGTTTATTCATTAGTTTTACGGTCATTCTCGACTATGATTCGAAATATTTCAGATAGAAAAAAGGGGGAAGAAAGTTATTTGTATTCAAATCTTACGACATTCTTCGTTCCCTAACCCTTTTCTGTATACGTTTGGATGCCATTTACATTTTTGCTTACTTTATCAAATACTGTTGATGACAACTTGTTATGACTTTGTTTTGATCTTCGTCACTTTCTAATTATTTATTAAGAACCGATGACAATAAGGCACTAAATGACTTCATTTCTTTCCAAGTAAAATAAGCATTTTTTTTTCCATTAAACAATGAAAGCATGATGAAATTCGCATATCATTTTTTGATGAGAGCAAGGATAAAAGCAAAAAACGACGATAATAGAAATCTTTAATTTCATATGAGCCAATTTACTGTTTGCTTTCGATTATTGCAGCAGGAAGATTTTATGCAGACATCGCTTAATCCATTTAAAATAATGACGACAGGTGAGAGATTTGAATAAATGAGAAGAGTTTGATTTACAGTATCAAATTTTATTCTCACGTTGAATGGTTACCTGTGATGATTAATACGGGGCGCCGAATTTTACAGATATATTTATATCAGATTGCCGACACGTTGAATTTTATTAATACATAATTTGTACCATCTGATGATATGTGGGGAAGTTCTTAAAAATACTAAAATTCAATTCAATGAATTGATGTTTGCAGGCGATGTGACAATGCGACGATTAGACAATTTATGTGATAATTAGGATTGGACATGTCTTCAGGATGGAAGATTACCGCTTTCTAAAACTGTGATCTATGGTGAACTCGCTACCGGTTTTCACAAAAAAAGATCGACAAAGAAGAGATACAAAAATGGTTTGAAGGAGCAAATGATTGAAGATAATGAAATACAATTAAATTTCTAATTTCTAATTACCTGAACAATTCGTAGGTATTATTGCGTATGACTGTAATGTTACTTCACTCATTAAAATCGATTGAAATGTATTTTTCATCGAACTTTCCCTTTTTAGACTACAGAACGTATTTTAATATAGGATTACCTAATGTTTAACTTACTTTATCTTTGCTTTTAGGAATTACCCTATGTGGACTAACTCTACCCGTGATTTCACATTCTAAATATTCAAATATTGAATAGAGTTTGGTTGGTGTTGTGCTTACAAATTCTTAAGAATATTTTCAAAAACTGAGACACTTTGTGATACTTTGTCTTCTTTTAGTCAAAGTACGCTATAATCACCTGAAAATTTGTAGACAGTATAAAAATTATCGGAAGACGGTTTTTTTGTTTTTTATATGAAATTTTCGTTTTTTTTAAAATTTGAAACGAAATGATTATGATTTTAATCAATTAACAACAAAAAAAAATGTGTTGTACTGTGAATATTAACTGTACATCCCGATCCACTGTTACAATTTTGCATGTAAACATGTTTCAACGGAAATTTTATTTGAATAAGTACTACATTGCTCACATACCTATATATATCGATAAATTCTGTAAATTTGATATGAATAAACATGATTAATGATTAGGTAAAAATAAAGTATTAGAGAATGTGAGAGAAATGAACTTGTTGAAAAGAAAATAACAATTTTTGCAGGTTCAGCACGATCACTCACTCAAAACCTATCTCTTAGTGTTCATAATTAATGTCAACTTTAGGAATTCGGGACAATCATTGTGGACAGTTAGGAGGGATGACGACAAATAAGTTCTGTTTGACGGAGTTGTGAACTAAGGTTATTTAATTTTGTTTGACGGAGTTGTGAACTAAGGTTATTTAACTAGGTTATTCTTGCAGCCTTAAATA